CCTCAAAGTTAGCCAGATGTGAAAGCCGAAGATTTTCTTAGGCCTTTCTTGACTATGCAACAGCCTTGGACATTTGCATAACATCTAGATTTCTAGGAATCTGTTGGAGATTTTCAGAGTTCCCTATCAACATCTCGTTCCTCAGCTTTTCTAGAAAACTTTTTTCTTAATATATTGCCAGCTCCAACTATTTTTTCCCCAACCTCTGACAGGTGAGATCTGTAACAGTTGTCCTTGATTGATTTTCAGTAAATACCCCAAGCTCTTTGCATTGGAAAAGCTTTAAGTCAGGTTAAATAAAGGCAGCCTTTCAAATGGGGTCCCTCAGCAAGCCATTAGACAGGTCAAATATGGTAGCTTTGGGGGAATCCATCCTGCCTTCTCCAGTGGCGGCCAGGCTGCTAATTTTCATGGGGACTTTGGGCTTGTTGGGTTTTGTTTTTGGCCACATTCTAGCATGTGGGGTCTTAGTTACCAGTTGTGTGTGCGTGCTCTGCTGTATCTGACTCTTTGTGACCCCACGGACTATAGCCCGCCAGGCTTCTCTGTTCATAGAATTTTCCAGACAAGAATACTGGAGTGGGTTGCCATTTCCTATTCCAAGGGATCTTCCCAGTGCAGGGATCAAACCTGCATCTCTTGATGTCTCCTGCTTTGGCAAGCGGATTCTTTACTACTGTGCCACCTAGGAATCTCCTTAGTTACCTGACCAGGGATCAAACCTGCACCCCTGCATTGCAAGTGCAGAGTCTTAACCACTGGACTGTCAGGGAAATCTCTGGGCCTGTTGGTTTAAATTGCTAATTTGGAGCTGGGAGTAAAGGGTGGAAAGGTAAGAATAGGGAAGGTCAAAACAGCACAAGGCTTTCTCTTTTTATTGAGACTGCAGAATGCTTCCCAGATGGCTGCAAACTTTTGGTTAATTCCTTTGTGTTGATTCTGATAATTTTTCTTTTATGGAGGAGAGAATTTTTGTAGGCTTTTACTACTTTGTTGATGTCCTCCTTTTTGTCTCTAAACATGACCTTTTCCATTCATCTTTATGTGCCCCTGCTTGTGGGAGCTTGAGTTTATTCAATTATCTCTTAAGCTTTTTAACTGTCAAAAATTGTTCCATTCTGTTTTGCTTTAGTTTAGATAGACAAGGATCTGAAAAATACTGAAATAAATTTAATATAAAGTAATAATGATTTTTAGTTCATTCTCAATAATTGAATATCTGGGAAGAATAAGGCACTTTCCCCATAAAAATGTGTAAAATATTAATATTGTACATTCTCATTAGTGTTACTTATACTGATTTTTTTCTTTTTATGGCTCCCGCATCTCTTTCTTCTTACTATTACTGTGCTCATTTTTTACCTCCTTAGGCCACAGAGAATGCTGATGGGAGAACCATTTCCCTAGTTTCCAAGTAGTCAAGCTGATTGCCATGATGGGTGAGTTCCAACTAAAAGCATTTCTCATCTATAATTAAAGGATAATATGGAGTAGAGGCTTTTTCTGTGTGTATGATGAGCTTCTTAGGAAGAAATCTTATGATTTAGTAGATTTATATAATGTTTTACATTTATTTACTTAATAGATTTTCAGTTAAAGCACTTAACTGTGTTGACTTTTACAGTTTTGGGATAACCAATTTGTGCAAGACATGATGTGGACATTCAAAATAAATTGTTAAGATGGATTGTGATTTTCTTTTTTATTTATTTATTTTTTTGGATTGTGATTTTCTTAGAGTCTGATGGCTAGATAAAATTCTTGGTAAAGAAACCTGACTTTTAAAGATTGAGTAAATGCTGAGGAATGAATTGTTGTATAATTACTCAACAGTGTAGTAATATAGATAGACTAAAGAAAATAGCTGCATAAAAATAATGAATCATGAAACTTTATAACAGAATAAGGAGAGAATCATTGGTGCTCAAGGAGGATATGTTTTACAACTCTTGTGAGTTTTCTGTGGTGTCATAATGTTAATGGAAAGGAAGGCCAAAGTATGGAAATAGATTGTGGGGGTTAAGTTTATATATCTTTTTGTTTTCTTCTGTACTTTTTCCCCCCTCCTTTTCTCCTTGGCGTTGAGGGTTCCAATGTGAGGCAGGGATTGGACAGGGAAAACTAGAAAGGAATGGAGCAAATGGCCCGTCCTGTCCTCATGGGAAAATAGACGGTGCAGTTGGAAGATAAGGTCTTAAACTTAGACCGGTATCTTGTACTGATATCTTAATTCTGACATGTACTTGCCAGTGTTTGTCTTTGTCACAGTTTTCCTATCCCTTGATTAACAAAGATATTATTCACTCTTATATGCATATACATGACATTAGAGCCAAAGAACTTAAATTTGTCCGTGTTCTTTACTGGAAGGGCCAACACACTTTCAGTGTGTGTTGTGGCAAATGTGTAGGCAAACCCCCACCTTCCTACTTTCTGAATTTCTCTTCCATTTCCTCCTTTTGTAACCAGGAGTGCCCTGCCAGCAGGTGGTCCAAATGCTTCACTTTTGTTACCTTCACCTCCAGTTCCAAATTGGAACTTCTGTTGAATTCACACAAGCTTTTCATTTTTGTTGCTGTCACCATAGTATGCAAAGAACAGTCATTGCTTAAAAACATTTACAAAGGTAGTTTCAGGAAACTGTGAGTAGTTAAAAGGATGCATCACAGATACTTGAATTTTAATTGAAGATTTTCTCCTATAAATACTTTTTTAAGTATAATGAATTAATCATAAAAGATAATAAATTAAGCATTTCTGATAAATCTTTTATTTTAAATTATTACCTCCCAAACATTTTCTGGGTTTGTGCTCAACAACTAAATGTCCTCTTAATGTGTGTCAGAAATCCACTGCTGCTTCTGTGTGACTTGGTCAGACTGTGGCATCCTCTGAGCATCCTCTCTGCCATATAGATCAACTCATGATCCTGTGACATTTATAACCTGTCTAATCCTCCTGGCACCTGTAACCACCATAGAGATTCTTAATAGAGTAAAATAATCTAAAAATTGTTAGAACAGTGCTTGTAGTGTATGTTCACCACTTTGCTTGATCCTTTGGCATTTGTTAGCTTGCACCTTATCAAAAGTAAGTTTCCTCTTGGGTACTTATGTAGCATCTGATTCTCCTTCAACCCAGAAAAAAGAAGGAACTCAGTTAAGTAACCCTCCAGTTGTATGTCACCTCCCTGAGAAGTTACTTTTATTCAAATGGCTCTCTCTGCTTTTTTACATGTACTATGGGAAATGGTATTCATTTTTTTAAACTCAGTATATGTAATACATACTCAACATATATATAGAGAGAGTAATCATGTGTTACATATACTGAGTTAATATATGTAAACATGATAAGAGATTTAAGCCAAAGCCTTCCCAAGAAGGCTTTTGGTGTTATAATATTATTTATTTTGGTGTTTTTTTTCTAATTTATTTTTAAATTTAAAAATATATTTTTATTTATAAACTTATTTTGGTGTTATAATATTAAACATGTAATGTTGAATATGAAATATTGCGAAAATGCCTAAGTTCACATGCTTAAAGAAGAAAATAATTAGGACATAGATACATGGAAGTATTAAAAGTTTTCCTCTCCCTAGTGTAGAATTACAGGTCTTACTTTTCATAAGAAAGTTATATCAGATAATTTCATTCCAGTTCATAGTATTTTCAGCTTCTTCTTCTTCTAAGGAAGGATTTATATTTTATCAATAAATGACATAGTCTGGCTTGGATCCCTACACGGTGCACATGTTGTAATTACGTTAGACCCATTGGCTCAGTTACTGTTTGGCTAAACTAAAAATATGTATAAATTTTATTTCAAATAATACTTTTTGAAGGATTAAAATTTTCTCTGGACCTGGAATTTGTTAACAAAACCTTTGGAGCCATAATTTGAATTTTAGTATGCAAGTAGTTTCACTATAGAACAGAATATATTGAGTGTTGTAAAAAAATTAAATGTTAGAGAAATAAGCTGTATGTGTGTTCGAAAGACTGATAAAGCCATTGACTTGCCAAATTCTTTTTTAATGATCGCCCTTTATAGGATAAAGCGTGTTTTAATTACTATTGCTCTGGAACATAAATTATTGTTACCAAAATGGTTACATTGTAAAATGTACGCTGTAAAGTCCCTTAGTTCCTTTATTTACCAATTGTTGAGTATCATTAGTAAAATTGATTTACTAGTGAAAAATCAATTAAATTGTCCAGAGGTCATATAATTATCATTACTAGGATGTTCATGCTTATATAGTCTTAGAAAGAAATCTTTGGTATGTTTGGAAAAGATTAAAAGTTCATGATTCATGATCATTTCAGTTTTATGGATTCGGTACTTTTTTCTAAGAGGTGAATTTTTCTTGCATTGATACCTTTTAAGTTGTTAGTGGTTGAGGTATTAGTCTGTTAATGTAGTCTTGTTGAACCTTATGGTGAAGATATTCAACAAAACCACATCCAGATATCAGTAGGCCTTTATCTATAGATACAACTTTTCTTTGTTCCTGACTTGAAGTACTGATGAAAGAGAAAAGCTCTGAAATGAATTCTGTATTTTAAACATAAATGCTAAATAATGATGGTATTTAGAGAAAGGTGTTTATTTTCCCCCCACTTGTTTTAATTAAGATTTTAGATGTCTTGTTGATGTTTTGTTTAGGAGTCATAGAAAAGAATTTGTTATGATAGGGTTGTTTTGACCCATATCCTAGGATATTACATCAGGAGAAGAGTCAGAACGACTGTACTTGCCTTATAAATGTCTTGTGTGAACACCTAGTGTGAGGCAGGCACTTGATATAGTGCAGTTTTAATGTTACTTATGTTCAGTTTTTAAGTAACTAAGCTTTTCTTTCACCAAAATAACAAATGCAGGCCTTGAAAGTGTTCTAGATGCATTAAATTTTACTCTAAATTTTGTATTGATGTCTATGATAAATACATATTGAAATCACAGTTCTGTGTATGTTTTATTTTACAAATACCTAGATGATCAGCAAGCTTTGAACTCAATCATGCAAGATTTGGCTGTTCTGCATAAGGCCAGTCGACCAGCATTATCCTTACAGGAAACCAGAAAAACAAAATCCTCATCACCAAAAAAGCAGGTATTTGTCTCAATAATATTTTAATAAATATATAGTTCTGTGAATTATTTTCTTTGAATATCCTAATTGTATAGAGGATTTGTTTGAAGTGATTAGCTTTTATACTTTTGAATCAAGTATTTTGTTGTTTGTCATAGATTTAGTGTCTACTGACACCCTTAGTGTCAGTTTTTTTTTTTTTAAATGATAGTTTCATTTGTGGTATCTTCTCTCTAGAGTAGATATCTCATCCAATTCCTAAGGCATGTAACACAAGCAAATAGCTTTTATTTAAATAATTGACTATTCTCTGTATTTACAGATGAAAATAATTTTTATTCTTATACCTGAAATTTATTTGGAACATCTAACATAACAAGTGGAAATGTAGTATTCTGTATTGCCCTTTAACAGAATTAGTAAATGTCTCATACTGGGGATGCCATCACTAATAGATCTTGGTGCTCTTTCCTGTTGAGCCCAGATTAAGCCACCTAATTCTCTCAACTCAGCTCTTCGGTAGAAACTGTCAGTTGATTGGAGTTGACACTGATTGAAACCTCCTTCCCCCTCTGCTCTATCTTAAATGAGTGACTTAAAAGAAAAGTGATTTAGAAATTCTGGGAATTTTATCTCATCTCTGACATCACTTATCATTTCATTACAGAATGATGTCCGAGTCAAATTTGAACACAGAGGAGAAAAAAGGTAAGGAAGGAAGCATTATATGTCAGTTCATTAATTTAATCAAATGCATGTCCTACTTAAGATATTAGAGGTTCTTTTTAGATTTTAATGTAGGTCCTCGTGGCTTACAAATTGAGAATGAAATAGTCCTTGTTGGTAACTGTAATGTGTACTTGTACTTAAGATAGAATCTATCAAATTTCAGGCTAAGCATCAGAAGTGAATCATGTTTTTACTTTGCAGTATTAGGAAATAAGTAAGGTCATTGTGTAATGCAGCTTTAAATATTACCATTTAAGAAATTTTTTGCTCAGTGGAAATTAAATATTCTTCTCCTTATAATTCTATCATCTCTTCAGATACTATACAGATTTTAGGTGTATGGACTTGAATTCACAATTTTGAGTATTCTGAAAAAACTTGAATCATTTGACCTGTATTTAATTAGTAACATTGAGAAAAGTGTTGGACTGGTGACTATAAATTATTTAGCAAAGGTGGAAGACTACCCTTCAACTGGGTATTTGTATTTCAGTGGAATGGTGGAAATGGTCGTAGTAGTGGTTGACAACAGAATTGCTGACAAGACCTCATAGAAGTTAAAGAAGATAGAATTTTATTTCTATTATTAATGTCATTAATTTAATGAAAGATCTATCCATCTTAAGGATTTTAAAAAGCTCACAGATCATATAACCTGAAGATGTAAAAATGTTTTACACAGAGATTTTTTTTTAAAAAAAAAAAAAGAGATGGAGAGTCTTCCCTGGCGGTCCAGTGGTTAAGACTGCACTTTGAATGCAGAGACTGTGGATTTGATCCCTGGCCAGGGAGCTAAGATCCTACATGCCTTAGGGCCAAAAAAACAAAGCATAAACAGAAGCAATATTGTAACAAATTCAATAAGGAATTTAAAAAATAAGTAAATAAGTAAACTTAAAGAAAAGAAGGGAGTAGGCAATGCAGATACATCATACAAGTGTTGTCCTGTCTACTTTTTCCTATTTACAACTTTTATGGATATATTCTCAATTTTTTTTTAGTTCATTGAGCACTGTTTATTGAGTACTTACTATATGCTGAGCTATAAAGGGAATAAAGTGAAGTGAAATATGCACGATCCCTCCTGTTACAAAACTTACAGCTAGTAGATAGTCTTCAAGCTTAGAGGCATGGTCCCTAGGGGCAACACAAGTCAATCCTTTGTGAAATAAGAAGAAAATTCTAGGATTAAAAAATTTTAACTCTTTAAAAATATTTATTTGGGGATGTGTATAACTGAACTGAACTGGTGTTTACGTGATACGTGTGTTTGTGTGTGTGTGTGTGTGTGCACTCAGAAATATTGAGTTGATAAGGGTTCAGAAATCAAAACTTGGATCCCCAAAGAACAGCTTTATTCTTTTAACAGTTTCATCGTAGGGCTATGACGTAGTTAAGTTTAATCACTTTCCAAAATGAACATTTTACATTATTCTTTAATATTCTTGTAAATAGCAGTGCAAATTATAAACTGCGGAGTATTTTGAGAATTTCCTTTTTATAATTTTTATTAGGCTAGAACAGACTACGGAGTTCTTGAACTTTGTGTTAAAATGTTAGTGCACCTGATCAGAAATGAGCCATTGTAATGTTTAAGTAAAGTGAGTACTTATAACTTGATTTTGTATTTCTGTATTCAGGAGATAACTGTTTACAAGTAAGTTATTTAACTGTGCATAAGAAAATAAAATATATTAAAATTCTGTTTACATAGAATCCTTCAGTTCCCCAGACCAGTTAAACTGGAAGACCTGAGGTCTAAAGCTAAAATTGCCTTTGGACAGTCTATGGATCTGCATTATACCAATAATGAGGTAAATATGTACACTTTAACTTTCAATAGTTCTTTTTTTTTTTTTGGAAAAAATAGTGTGTTTATTTAAGAGATTGTTTTAAGATGGTTGTGCTTTTATTTGGGCATCGATAAGGATGTAGTATTTCAGAGGAATAAGATATCAGTAGTAAATTTTAACTATTAAAATGGATTTTTTCATTGTGGAAGGTACTGAAAGGTGCTGCAATGCAGTAATTGAGAATTTGTTAAAGGAGGAAATACATATATTGCTTAGAAGTTTGCTGCTTGTTTATGTTTTATTTTTGTTCTTCTTTATTGATGAACTCTTTCCTTTTCATACTGTATACTTTTCTACAGAGACGACAGGGCTTTGGTAGTTGGACAGTTTAGTTAAAACTTAAAAGATTGCTTTCATGCTGGTAAGGATGTGATTAGATTGTTAGTTTGTGTTTGGGAGTCAGGGGCTCACTATGATACTAAGGAGCTCTGTGTTCTGGGGAATCCCTTTTGAACCTTCTGTAAAATTTGGATTAGAAATCTCTGAGATTTCTTTCAGATCCTGTGATCTCAGATCAAGATCTTGAGATTTAAAAATTTCTAGGGACAGTTTAGTTAATTGGTTAATTTATTTTCTTTTCCCTCTCAGAAATATCCATTGAATTTGCAAAGCATGATGGTTATAATTTATGAATTGCAGCCCCTAATGGAGTTTATAGACTTGTGTTAGAAGTAGACAGTTAATAACTGAATTGTTTAAATATGTGAATTCTTTGAAGGAAATGCACAAAATATTATGATAAAGGATAAAGGCAAGGGCAGTATATGTCTTATTTAGTTAGTACTAAGTGAAATGAAGTTGCTCAGTCATTGTCCGACTCTTTGTGACCCCATGGACTGTAGCCTAAGAGGCTCCTCCATCCATGGGATTTTCCAGGCAAGAATACTGGAGTGGGTTGCCATTTAAGGAAGAGCTAAATGAGGTCATAATATTTAATTGTTGAGATTTGAAGTATGAAAAGCCAGCTCTACAAAGAATTTGAGGGGAATAACATTCATGGTAGAGAGCAGCTTGAGAGCACAGCATGCAGAGATCCTGGGAAGGAAAAGACTTGTGTGTCAGGAATAGAAAAAAATGTCAGTGGTAATGGAATGACAGTGGGAAGTTAAGTAAAAGTTAGAAGATGTGCAAGTGCTTTGCAAATGCTAAAGCATTGTGCTAATAAAAATATTTGAAATATTAGATTTTCTAATGAATTATTGTCATTTTAAAGCAAGAGAGCTTTCGCTGTATCTCTCCGCACCCAATAGGGTCTCCCCAGAGCGAGGAGGAGGGCTGAGGATGTCCCGTTCTATGGATCCACTGGCAAAGAAGATCTTTAAAGGAGTATTAGTAGCTGAACTTATGGGCGTTTTTGGAGCATATTTTTTGTTTAATAAGATGAACACAAGCCAAGATTTCAGGCATACAATGAGCAAAAAATTCCCCTTCATCTTAGAAGTTTATTACAAATCCATTGAACACTCTGGAATGTATGGAATCAGAGAGCAAGATCAAGAAAAATGGCTGAGCAGTAAAAATTAGGAATTTGACCATCAATCAAAGTTTGCCCTATTTCAAAGTATTCGGCAAGATTAAAATTCTGAAATTGACACGAGATGTATTTTAAATATTTAAGGTTAACGGTAAATTCTAATTAAGTCAGAGGTTTTGTTCCTTGGAGTAACTGTGAAGAAGTGACGGAGGGTTTGTTTATTGTGTTATAACTAGAGTTTTGTTTACTACTTGAAATAAAGCGGTTCTTTAAAAAAACCTCCCCTATAATTCTAAATATATAAACCTTTCAAAACAGAAGAAATAAACCATTTTTAATATTTGTTATAAAAAAAAAAGCAAGAAAACATGCAAATATGGCTTGTCTAAAGATATCACTTATAAAGTGGAAAATATTTTGAATAAGTAAAAATCCATATCCAAACAAACAATATTTCTGAACAAAGTGATGAGTACCATACTATAGTAACTCCTTAAAATGTCATTTTTCAAATACTTTTTGGGTTTTTGGCTAGCTATGAACACCTCTTGTTGCCTGACCCTGTTTTGGCACTTATTTGTGTCTGTGCTGGCCTGATTTCCAACTGCCAGCCCCTGAGATTCTGAGGACTTCTCAGAGATATGACTGTAGGGTATAAGCTGAAGTACATAAGGGAGGGAATGGGGATTGGTGATATGAGGCTCAAGGATGTGGTGGGAGATGGGGATGGATGGACCCCACTTGCCCACTGTGCTAACTTGCTAGATGTTACACCCTTTATGGACCTCCTCTCTTCCTTGTCTTCCCGATTACCCTACCAGTGTTTCCTAGTATCTTTTATAAACATACTTGAATCTTTATCTCATGGTACGATTCTGGGGATCCCAGATATATCTTTGTTTTGGTTTTGTTTGGTCTAAAATTGTGTCATGGAAAAATAAATAAATAAATAAAATTGTGTCATGGAAAACTTCAAATGCCAAGGTACATTGACTACAATATTGTCTTGACCTATGAGTCTAGTATGTCTATCAAGAAAAATTAGGTTAGTTTGGCATGATTTGTTCATATTGTTCCTGTCTGAGCTCTTAAAATTGCTGTTTCTTTTTCTGAGTTCTCCCAGTTTGTTTATAGACATACCTTGGAGATACTGCAGGTTCGGTCTAGACCTCTACAATAAAGTGACTGTTGCAGTAGAACCAGTCACATGAATTGTTTGTTTCCCCAGTGCAGTTATGCTTGTGTTATAGTCTCTTAAGTGTGTGGTATTAAAAAATACTTTATAGTTAAAAATGCTAGCATCATCGTAAGCTTCAGCAAATTATAATCCTTTTGCCGTAGTCACATCAAAGATCACTGATCATAGATCACCATAACAATTATAATAATAATGAAAACATTTGAAATATTTGGAAGAATTACCAGAATGTGGCATAGAGACGCAGGGGAGTAACTGCTGTTGGGAAAATGGTGCCAGTAGACTCGAGGCAGGGTTGCCACAAACCTTCTCTTGGTGGAAAAACGGTATCTATGAAGAGCATAGGTGATGTGCTCTAAAGCAGGGGGTGCCTGCATATAATATTTTCTAGGGTTTTCTTGAGGATTGATGTAGAGCTGGTTGACCAGGTATTAGCAACTTGCTCCCATTTTCCAAAAATTAGGAAATTTCTCCATATCAGCTTCTTTTTCTCATGCTTTCTGAAGGATTTCTCAGAGTGGTTTTACTGTTTATATTTGGGTGTCCTCTCGGCAAAAGTATGGTAGAGGAGGCATTAGAGTACAACATTACATTGCTTAACATTTTCCTAGCACTCTGAGTTTCTGTGAGAACCTGTGATTTTTTTGAGTTAACCATGTTCTGATTCACAGAGTGACAAGCCTGGTGCATGTCCTTGGACAGTGGGGGTACTAGGGAAAGACTTAAAAGAGATACTAGTTTTATAGACCTGTAGACATGCAGAAAATTCATCGATATTGCTTTTATTCCAGTTCTATAAATATTTTTTTCTGTGTAATACAAAATCCTCTGTTCTAAAATAATTATTTTGGTTTACCACAATTGAAACAAAGAAATTTAAGCTGGGATTGGATCTTTATTTTATAAGCTGGGATTGGATCTTTATCTTATAAAGTGTCAGGCAGGTATGTATTGTCACAGGGCATAGACAGGGATATGCAGGCCAAAGTAAGTGGATTTTCTAAGACTTTCCCCATTTTAGATGGGTAGAGGGTGAGCCTTTTTATGAACAGTTTTCATGTTTCACTATGTAAAGTTAAAAGATAATTCACTTATTTCAGATTTACATTCTATTTAATGAGGTTTGGGGCTCAATTTTAGTTTCCTTTCCAGAAATTATTTTTATTAACATACAACTGATTTACCAGTAATAAGCCTGAGGGAAATAGATTTTATGAATGAGACTGAAGTGAATTCACCAAACAGAAAAATATTGGGTGACTTATTTAGTATAATTTAGACAAGGTGAAACTTGTTCTTGACTTCTAGTTCTTGTTGTAAAATTTATAACAGGTGCCCTTAGCACATATGAGAGAGTTACATTAGAGCTGTAGACCAGGATGCCACTCCAGGCTCTTCCAGAATGTCCAGATTTCACTCTAGCAAGCTGCAGAATCATTTATGTTAATATTTTATTTCTGTGATTTAAACTAGTGTCTTTTCCTTGGAGGAATAAACAATCCAATTATAAATAATGTGTAGTTAAAGTAAATATTCAGGTTTTCTCCTTAAGTGAAAAATTGGCCAAACAATCCTTAACATTGCTTTAAAATGTTTTCTAGTGTTTAAAATATAATTTAAAAGCTATTAAAGGGGAACAAAGGGTTCATGAATGATAGAAAAATGAAAGGAATTTAATTAAGTAGATCAGACTTGTTTTTTGATATCAGTTAATGTTCTGTTGTTTTTGTTTTAGAAAAAAATTCTCAGAGGATAAAAGGGCCTGTTAGTAGATAAGTTGTAACAGTATAAAATTTGCTATGAACAGAAATTGGGAATATAATTTCAAGTACTGAGTGAGGGTAAGCACATTGTATGATGTAATTCACATTTGTCCTGCTTTGTGTTTGTGTCTGGCAGCCTTTCTTAAACAAGGAGTAGTTTTCATAAAAGAAATCTACAGAGAATGAGTTCACACCATGTCACCTAGTGGGTTTGAGTACAGATGAAGCTTTTACCCTATGATATTTATTAAACAGTATTTACCAATAATTTGTTTCTTGCTGTGCCCTGCCTTCGTTGCTAATTTAGGGGAAATCCTTGTCTGCTAGGTGTTTATACTGTACAAGACGCTTAACTAGTTCACTGGGCCTTTACATTTGAATGGCCTGTAATACTGTGTGTGTTAGTGCAGGCTCACAAGTGTGGAATATGTTTGCTTGTTTTTATTCTGTCCTTTTAATGAAATGGAACGTACTTTGAAGATTATTGGCAGAGTTGTCTTAAGCTAGTAAATTTACTTTTAAAACAAGTATTTTGTTAGGTAGTATGAATCTTTCTTTTCCCTCACAGACTGTTTAGGTGCTTCTGTCCCTTATCACATCTGATCCATAAGAGGACTAATGAAAGCAGATTTCAGCATTCAGGGCTTATTGTAGGATGGCTCACCTATGTAGCTTACTTGGTTTAGATGGAATGTTCAAGTTGCCATGGTCAGAGATAGGAGTGCAAGGTGGACTGTAGATTGCAGGTACATTACTGGTGGCACCGCCCCCAACCCATGGCATCTGTCACCGATGCGCATTTGTATTTTATATGTTGGTAAGTACACTAGTGAGAATGCATATCTCTGGTTAGTATTTTTAAAAAAATAAAAATTTCATCAATGCAGGTGAAAGATAATACTTTATATAGTTTTTATATATGTTCCTTAATGCTGTTTTGAGGTGAAGAGACTATAACTTAAGTTTAATGATATTATGGAAACATCCTAGAAAATTGATCTTTAAATATGTTTTCTAGAAAAATGTAATGTATAATAAAGCAAAAAATCTATTCATATTCATTTTATGATTTCAGTGATGGTGGTAGGATGAGAAGAAAAAAACCTAGATACATATATTCATTCAGAATTTCATTATACTGACAAATCAAAGAGCAATGTATTTTGAGATTTATAATTCCATAGTAATGGAGATACTCCTGTAAGTACTTGACCTGATGATATGGCTACACAATTCCTTATGTTCCTTTTTGTTTAGTTGGTAATTCCATTAACCACCCAAGATGACTTGGACAAGGCTGTGGAACTGCTGGATCGTAGTATTCATATGAAGAGCCTCAAAATATTACTTGTAATAAATGGAAGTGCACAGGTATGAACTGGGATTCTTTTCAGTGAGGATTCTAGGATATATGCCTGTAAGAAGTCAATATATGAAACATAGTTATATTCTATAATCGTTGATATATTTTCAATATGATTAAATTTAAACTCACACATTGTAATTGCTACAGTTCAATACCCTTGCCCCTCAAAACTATATAGCCGAAGTCACAAATAAGTATAATATACTGTACATATGATGTTAATAGCAACCGAGAACCTGGGGAGAGCTACATTAGAATGACACTTTCAAAGCGTAAGTTTGCTAAGACCCAGAGAGAGAATACTTGGGTTGTATTTGATAGGGGAAGGAGTCTGATTAAAACCCTAAAGGAGAAAATAGCATTAATCTTCCTTTTTTCTCTTTAGGCTACTAATTTAGAGCCATTGCCATCACTAGAAGATTTGGATAACACAGTATTTGGAGCAGAGAGGAAAAAAGGACTTTCTGTAGTAGGTAAGAAAGCTAGTGTCTAAATCATGAAATGGGTTATTTCGCAGTTTCATCTCCATCCTTTAATGTAGGGCAACACCTGTACATAATCCTGATAAATAGTTTCTCTCTTTACTCCTTGCAGTTTATTTCAGTTAACTACATTCTAGTATCTGATGTCCCTTGAAAAGTTATGTCGAGTATAAACAGGATTAGCAGTCACCAGTTTAAATATTTCCTTTCTTTATATACAGAGGGTATTTTAATTTTTAACAAATTAAAACCTAAAAAATGTTTTAATTGTAAAAATAAAGTGAAGGGAAAAAATTAAAAGTAATTCCAATATATTAAAGTTAATGGTGGACTAATAAGTTCATAGGCCTTTCTGTAAGTTTTAATTATTGCCAAGAATGCTGTCAAAATAAAGATTGCTAATAATTTGCCGATTATGTTTTATAATTTATTAAATAAAAATACACTTATAATTAGGCTTATGATAAAAAGAAAAATGGATCCTATGTACAATTTTTTTTAAAGGAGGCTTATTAGCGTGACATAGGCTGGACAGAGGTGCTCTTAACTTGCCAGTTCTGTGTATCTTCTTCAGATTGTATAAAACATTGATATTCTGCATTTTTATATGAGAAAAAGATTATATTGCTCAAAAAACATTGGTATATATGTTTTTAACAGATAGGGCAATGAATATGGGCAATAAAGGTAGCAAAAATATGAGAGATGGATTTAAAGAAGGAAGGTAGAAGGAGATGAAAACAGATGAATAGGGAGAAAGTGGAAGGGAATCTAAGACTGGTGATAGAAGAGGATTGTTAATAATGAAAGAAAAGATTAAATTGGTATGTGAACAAATCAAAAAATTTATGAATTTGTTGCTCACCTTCTGTCTTGGTCCCCAAACTTTTTATGGCTTGCTGCAGCATGCATGCTCAGTCATGTCTGACTCTTCACAGCCCCATGCACTGTACCCTGCCAGACTCCTCTGTCCATGCAGTTCTCTAGGCAAGAATACTAGGATGGGTAGTCATTCCCTTCTCCAGGGGATCTTCCCGGCCCAGGGATCAAACCTGAGTCTCCTACATTGTAGACGGGCTCCTTACCATCTGAGCCATCAGCGAAGGACTGTATCCTTCCTTCTATGTGTCTGTCTTATGTTAAGTCTTACTTTGGGTTTCCAAAGTGTTAGAAATATGAGCAGCAGAGATAATATACAAGTAAAATAATAATAGTTGCTTATCTTCATTTGTATATATTTTTATATAATTTACATTTTTGATAAAAGAATATTAGAAGTATCTGAGTTCAAATTCTAGCTCTCTAATTAACCAGCGACCAGTAACATTGTCCTCATCTTTAAATCATGGGATTATTGCAGCAAGCAATTGAGAGAACACTTTAAGGTACATTTAGCTTTTCAAACTAGAAACCATAACTGTTATTAATCATTGATTTTTTTCTGTATTCCCTTTTCTTATCAATATAGTACCTATCATTTTAAAGCAAAAAAAAAATGCCAATTCACCTTAGTTGTGTTAGATAGAACAAGCTAAATACATTAGTTAAATTGGCAGTTTTAATTCATTTTCATGTAAAACTGTGCTGAATGCCTCCCTTTTACTCTACTAATAAATATTCTTATTTGACTTCAGTGCCAGCACAAAAAGAAACAGAAATTGTAAGGTATAAAATCACTAGTCTTTTCTTGGCACCTCTTTAAGCTTGAAATGGCTTTGATAGGTATGACCATTATCTTTTCCCTGTATTTATTGAAAATTATTTCCTTTAATTATTTTCACAAAAGATAGAGGAAGAACTTCCTTTGGGACAGGGGTATATGCTGGTGTGGAGGTCTCGACCATTAAAATATCCAGTACTAACAAAGGTTCAAAAAAAATAGGTTATCAAATAAGAAGATAAATTTTCAGAGCCTTTTTTCTTCCCTATGTGCTTTGAATAATGAGTGTATTTATCTTCTTTTGTAAATAAGGGCTTATGGAAGGAATAAAAACTTTAGGGACATTGTGATCATAGTTGTTACAAAGTTCAAATCAGTTCCTGGCTCAGAGGTTCCTAATAATTTTAGAATCAAGTGTAGAAAATTATCTTTTTTATGCATATCTCTTGGTAATCATTTTGTTCTGTTTATCCCTATCTCTTCACTAACAAATGCCAACTTGTGTTTACAGCGACCCCTTTACATGAGGCAAGAGCCTTTTTTGCTTGAAATCTGACCAGAATGCAAATGCTCACATAATTTCCTCAAATCTTTTTTTTTGTTTGTTTACTTTCAATAAATTAGGAGGAAAGCACAGAAACTATGTTAATAAACATAACACAATGAGATGAACTATTTTAGTGTCTCTAATTCTCTAAACTATGAAGAAATTTAAATTGCAGGAATATGGCTTACCACCAAAAGCCTAATTTTAAGTATCCAAGGATAAAATCCAGCATTCCAAATTAGAAACATTCTAATATTGGCTAAATGACTAAGAAGTAAATCTCACTTTAGATTTCTGAAGATTAAAGAGAGGCAGTGCAAAGAACATCGTGTAGACAAATGTGCACAGCATATGTTCATTATGAATAATTTTGCCATCACAACACCCTTGCAAAGGAGATTTAGTCCCATGTTTACAGATGAGGAAACAGGTTCATGGAGATTAGATAGCTTTCCCAAAGACAGAGCTGGTAAATAACTGGAACTGGAATTTAAACCGAGGTTGGACTGTGAAGTTCATATACTTTCCACTAGATCATGATGCCTTTCGTAAATTACATTAAAGCGTTACAAGTGACCTTTGGAAATGAAGAAGCAGTGGCATTTATATAAAAATATAGGATCCCCTGGAATGGCTACTCACTCCAATATTATTGCCTGGAGAATTCCTTATACAGAGGAGCCTGGCAGACTATATAATGGGGTTGCAAAGAGTCATATATGACTGAACAACTTTTTTTTTTTTTCATTGTATTATCAACCTCATAATGCAGTTGTCAGCAGGCAGAAGAACATACTATCTAACGACTATAAATGAATATTACATTAAGGTGTGAGTTTAGAAAAGAGTAAAAAAACACTTGAAGTTTTACAGACATGAGTGCTATGGTAAGTTTTAATTAAAACTGGATATCAGTTGCTAAAATCATTAGTACTATAGTCCAGAAGTTCTGAGTGTATATTTAATTAAAATAAGAATTAGTCCCCTGCTAGAATTTATAAAATCTATAATTTTTCTCTTTTGAGGTCCCACTAGTAGAGATAGAAGCTCCCCTCCCCCTGGATACATTCCAGATGAATTAAACCAGGTTGCCCGGAATGGGTCATTTACCAGTATCAACAGTGAAGGAGAGTTCATTCCAGAGAGCATGGACCAAGTAAGCAAAATTTGAATGTTGTTTTTAATTTCATTTAAAGGGATGTTGTCAGGGATAGTGTGGTTTGGCAGGTATATGGAGGAAGGTATTTGTTTTACCTCTTCTCCAGTCCCATATCTTCCTTTTTAAGTGAACAAAATAGTGGAAATACAGGAAAATACCCATGTGACAAATTTACATGTGTCTGTGTGCACTCATATATAAAGAAAGGTGGTTTAAGGCTGATTTTCTTATGTTCATAAATGCATTTGTTTATAATCCTGATATTAACATTCAATTTAATAAATAATTTGTGAAGCTGAGGTTTGTCTACTTTCTAAAACATTAAAAAAAATTTTTTAATCTTTTTAAAAAAGATTTGTTTTTTAATTTATGTCTGTTTTTGGCTGTACTGGGTCTCAGTTGCCGCAGACTTTCTCTAGTTGCTGCTGGCAGGGGCTCTGCTTTGTTGTGGTGCATGGGCTTCCCATTGCCGTGGCTTCTCTCGTTGCAGAGCACGGGCTCTAGAGCACGCATGCTTCTGTAGTTGTGGTACGCAGGCTCTGTAGATTTTGGATTTCGTAGTTGTAGCGCGTGAGCTGAGTTGCCCTGCAGCCTGTGGGATCTTTCTGGACCAGAGATCGAACCCCTGTCTTCTGCATTGGCAGGTGGATTCTTAACCACTGGACCACATGGAAGCCCTTAAAATGTTTTTTTAAAGTTTTGTAGTATTGAAGTATTTTTATGGAGTTGCTGTTGTTTCCTTATCATTACACTGGCTGCTTATATTATTACAGGAGTTTACATTTTCTAATAATGTAGCAGTCATGGTGTCATTTATTTCAGTTTGGGTGGTGCTGTTCAGTTTTCAGTAAACAAAATTATGTGAAGTGTTTAGCTTTTTATTATTTAGATGATAATCCAGAGCAGAAGATAAAGAAAATTCCTATTTTTCTATTAGGAAATTTTGCAGTTGTAGCCCGCCTATAGGAGACAACTACTTTTAAAACATTTAAATAGGGTGGCTGCTATTGGATATGGAGTTTCTTTTTTGGGTACTGAAAGTGTTCTGCGATTTGGGTGAGAGTTATACGTTCTGCTATTAACCACTGAATTGCACTATATGCTTTAATAAAATGGGCGAGTTTTATGATACATGAATTGTATCTCAACAAAGCTGTTTTTTAAAAAACAGTAACTTCAGTTATATTCATGTAGAATCAAGGTGGACTTTTTATTTTTCTAGATGCTGGACCCATTATCTTTAAGCAGCCCTGAAAATTCTGGCTCAGGAAGCTGTCCATCACTTGATAGCCCTCTGGATGGGTAATGTTGATTGTAGTTTTTATTTTTTAATATATGTGGGTAAATATGCATATGTATTAATAGCATGTTGAATTGTCAACTCAAATTTTGTGCTACATTCAGAGGAATGTAGTTCATATTCATGTATACTTAATGGCAAATTGGTTTTTCCAGTCATCGGGCTCAGTATCTGTTTTACTTAAAATGATTTCTGATTGTAATATTTTGAGTTTCCTGCTTGGTAAATTGTGTTTGAAACTAAAAGCAAACTTAGAGTTTATGTATGTTTACTTTTAAACCTGTGTTGGTGAAACTGCTGTCAGATTTTTCATAATAGGTTTAATTTTGGAGATTCTTTAATTTCTCTTGTTCAGGATTATTTTTACTCTGGTACCAAATTATAAGTACTGTACATTCTTGGTAATTATGTCCCAGTTTTGGTTGTCAATTAAAATTTAAGTACTTTTTGTGAGAAATACACTTTTGTTCAGGAATATAAGCATGGTCAAGTTACATCTTGAACTTTTGTTGTAAGTGCTCCTTCTCTCCTGGTCTCAGGACAGTTTTCACCGGTAGCATGCAAAGTCAGTACCTATTTATATTCTCCTCTGAGACTGCTTTTGAAAGCAACTTCTGAAAATGTAACTGCTATTGTATGGAAATATACATTTAATTTTCTATTATTCATATATATATGAAACCATATATATTGTCTGTGCCCATGTCTGTCTCAAGATAGATATTTAAAACATTTAAGGAGTTCAGGGGAATGGTGATGTGAAAGCTACATATTGAGTACCGAATATTTGAAGGACAGTGTCCTGAGATAGACAAGTATAAAATTGCTGAGTTAGTATTATCTCCTTGTTACAAATGTGGAAATCTTTTCAGAAAGATGATTTGCCAGGGTTGCAATAACTAGTTTAAGAGGAAGAGCTAGGATTGAAACACAGGTGTTTACATGTATCCATAATGCCAAAATGTATCTTTCTTAACCACTATACTCTGTAGGTCAGTTTTAAGAGCCAGGCTTTTTGTGTGCATGTATCAAATAAGTGTTTGAAAAAAGTTTCCTTTTTTCAGTTACTGTTTCAGAGTGAATGCTGTATGTGTGTGTGTATATACATTTGTGTGTATATATATAACTGTATATCTACACATACATACAGATATTGATATTGCATAAAGATTTTAAAAAATATCTTAAATACTTTCTCTTAAAATAATGAGACTTTTCTACTTTTTAGAGAGAGCTATCCAAAATCACGAATGCCTAGGGCACAGAGCTACCCAGATAATCATCAGGAATTTTCAGGTTAGACTGTTCACATTCTAAATGTTTAAATATTTATGTCATTGAATCATATTTTGGCTGGGTGGGAGAGAGAAATTTTTTTAAAAATCAAAAATGTGTTAATGTGTTTTTCATGATTAGAAATATTTGATTTTTTTAAAATATATAACTTTCTTATGTGTCTTAATAGACTATGATAACCCTATCTTTGAAAAATTTGGAAAAGGAGGAACATATCCAAGAAGGTATCATGTTTCATATCACCATCAGGACTATAATGATGGTAAGTTTATTAGATCAACAACAGTTGTTAAAAATCTCACAAACAATAAAAATGTTTGTTCCTGTATGACTTAGTTTTCTACTTAAAACTTTTTAAAAAGACTTTGGATCATAACTACAAGAGTGTTTTAGCTTTATGCCAGCTTACCTCTTGAGACATGTCTTTCCTTAGAAAGAAAAGTAGTTAAAATGGTATTAATTAAAAATTACTCCCTTAGTGATGAAATGCATACTGTATTCTCCTTTTTTTTTGTATTATCCTTTTAAAGAGAAAAAGTACTTCTTATTAACTTTACAATTTTTGTTTATATTTTAAATCATTATTGAAAATGAAAATAAAATACATTTTTCTCCTTTTTATACAAACTGAGGGAGTTCTGTCTGTGCTTTTATGAATGGGTGAGTGTGTTAACACAAAAGTTATTTGAACTTATATTCAGAGTCTGTTTCTTTTTTCCCCATTTTTCATTTCAGCTTACAACTTTTATTTTTATTTTTTTTTTAATTTTCATGATTCAGTGTTAGCTGGGGTATTTCCTTGAACTCTTAAAAATACCGTTCTTAAGTTTAAAATTTAAAATCAAATAATCATTGCTGTTTTAGCTTCTTATCCTAGTCACAGAACAAAATCTGTTCCTTATGCTACAAATTTTAAATACTTTCAATCACAATATATCATTAAAAGTTGCAAGGTAATTCTGTTTTCATTTTGTAGGTCGTAAAACTTTCCCGAGAGCTAGAAGGACCCAGGGGACCAGCTTCCGATCTCCTGTGAGTTTCAGTCCTACTGACCACTCCTTAAGCACTAGTAGTGGAAGCAGCATCTTTACCCCAGAGTATGATGAGAGCCGAATAAGAAGGAGGGGAAGTGACATAGACAACCCTACTCTGACTGTGATGGACATTAGCCCACCCAGCCGCTGTGAGTAATAGAAGTTGGCATAGTGAAGTGTGTGGCAGAACCTTTGCAGAATTTTATAATATTAATAGGAGTAAATATAATGAAGCCAGTCCTCAGGGTGAAATCAGGTTTTCAAAGGAGGTAAAAATGGTATTTCTAACAGTGTTTATAATGTTGGGTAAAAGCATGGTATTACTGCTAATCACTTTAAATGATTTACTGTCTTTTGCTTTTATTAGGAAAATTGTTACCAGTTACTCATTCACTCATTCCACATATCCTTACTGAATGCTTAGCTCTGAGAAACTTCAGATACGACCTCCAAGATGTAATCTAATGGGGAGAATGATGTGTGGAGAAATAATTATGGTATAGTGTCTAGTCAAGACCTTTAATGTGAGGAGGAATTCACCGATTAAATAGGTGACATATACAGGAGGCCGTGACATATTCTGGGCTACCCTGGTGGCTCAGCTGGTAAAGAATCCACCTGCGATGCAGGAGGCCCTGGTTCAATTCCTGGATTGGGAAGATCCCCTGGAGAAGGGATAGGCTACCCTCTCCAGTATTCTTGGGCTTCCCTGGTGGCTCAGATGGTAAAGAATCCACCTGCAATGTGGGAGACCTGGGTTCGATCCCTGGGCCGGGAAGATGCCCTGGAGGAGGGCAGGGCAACCCACTCAAGTATTCTTGCCTGGAGAATCCCCATGGACAGAGGGGCCCAGTGGGCTGCGGTCCGTGGGGGTCTCAGAGAGTTGGACACAGCTGACTGACTACGCACACATGACATATTCTGAAAATGAGAAACAGTTCTTTTTTGGTGAGGTGGAGGATATCTTACTTGAAGCAATGGAAATAGAACTAGAATGGTAACTGAGGCCAGATAGTGAAATATGTGACCTTTATCTTGTAAGCAATGTATAAAAGATTTATGCTCAAGGATATTTTTTGCAACAATATTTGTACACTCTGAATTCCTTGCTTTTGTACCAGTGTTGTCATATTTTACTTTTACACCTGCAACTTGCATTACATTACTGCTATTTTTGGTTTAGACAACTATATTTTAAAGTGATTAAAATAAGAGATTAATGTCTTTTATATATACCTCCAGCTTATTTCTACAGATCTTTATTTATGTCAATCCAGGTTTCATTAGGTATCATATCCCTTTTGCCTGAAGGATTGTTTTTAACCTTTTCTTCTAATATGAGTCTACTGGTAACAAATTCTTTCAGCTTTTGTCTGAAAAACTTTTATTTCTTTATTTTTGAAAGATACATACATTTTCTGGGTATAGAATTGTGGACATTTTAATTTTTTTCTTTCAGCACTTTAAAACTGTTTCTCCATTGTCTTCTGGCTTGTATACTTTCTGAGAATTCTGCTGTATTTCTTACCTTTGTTCCCTTGTATGTAATGTGCTTTTTTTCTCCCACTGGCTGCTTTAAAGATTTCCTCGTATTAGAATGAGAGTGATGGTCTTCCAGCTTTCTACAGAGTAGGCAGATGGAAAAACTTATTACAAATATTACTGCAATAAAGATTAGAAATAGCGCATCTTACATAATCAGTGACATTTTATATTGAGTGAAAGATGCTATTATATTTATAATCAGGTAAAAAAAATCTCATTGGAAAAAATTAGTCATAGGAATCTGAACCGTGTTTGAATTTAGAATTCTTACAGTTTCAAAGATGATGATCATTATGAATTTGGATGATGATTTTCTCTTAATATCCAAGCATATTCAATTAAAGATATCACCAATGCAATAGTCCTTAACCATTGTGTGCCATTGGGCTACTCCCATTTTAAGAAAATGTTCTTTTTTAGCACCTCGTGCTCCAACCAACTGGAGATTGGGCAAATTACTTGGCCAGGGAGCCTTTGGCAGGGTCTACCTCTGTTACGATGTTGATACAGGAAGAGAATTGGCTGTTAAGCAAGTTCAGTTTGACCCAGATAGTCCTGAGACCAGCAAGGTAAGAATCACTGAACAAGCTACTTTGTCACGTTATAAGAACCATTTTAACTAAAATAAATACAACACACCATAGAATTTTTTTGTTTTTCTTCAATGCAAATTATTTGAAAAAAATAGGTAATAGATATGTTTATTTACTGTGTACACTGGATTTTCTGTTTTAATACTCAGTTGTATTCCTAATCTGATTTAGTGTTGGTTTAGCATACCATCAAGGACTGTTACCTAATTATTGCTTAGAGACTTTAAAATGTTTATTCTTTGGGAAGTGGAAATTTCAGAATGAAATCACCTTGATGGTCCATGATGTTTGAATTTTTTTTTGCTTTTACTAGCAATGCTATAAAGACTTAACAGTGAGTTCTGTCTTTCAGGAAGTAAACGCACTTGAGTGTGAAATTCAGTTGTTGAAAAACTTGCTGCATGAGCGAATTGTTCAGTATTATGGCTGTTTGAGGGATCCCCAAGAAAAAACACTTTCCATATTTATGGAATATATGCCAGGGGTAAGTTAGTACATCCTTTGAAATTAGAGATACTCTATTTAAAGTCTTAGTTGAGGATAAAGAAAAACAACAACTTTGATGATAAAATGTTACAGACATTTTTTAAGAGTTTTAAATTTAATATAATTTTATTTTTCTATCTTCTTCACTTTGTATTTCTTTTCTTTTTTTTTAGATACAAAAGTATACTAAAATAGATTATAAACATCATAGCAGTCTATACTCAGATTTCCCTAAGTGCCCTAAAAATAACAGAATAACTGGTTTATCCAAACCAGGATTCAGCCCAGGACCACACATTGCATTTTGCTGCCATGTCTCTTACTCCTCTTTTAACAGAAAACAATTTTTAGGTAACATAGATTTGACAGAGAGACCAAGCTAATTGTTCTGTTGACAGTCTCATCTCATAGATCTCTCTGATCACATCCTCATGGTGGGATTTAGTTTGTTCCTTTGTCCCCATATTTCCTATAAACTCCCAAGTTAGATCTAAAATCTAAATTATATTCAAATTCAGCTTTTACTCTCATGCATCCGAGATGATGCTGTGCATCCCATTAGAAGACATACAGTTTCTGGTGGTTCTGATAGCGATGTTAAGATTGATGGCTTGATGAGGGCAATTGACATCCTGTTTTCTCCATTGTAAAGTTTTGTTTTTCTGAAGACCAGAAAGTAATCTGAGCGATAGCAGTGGCACATGGGACTATCCAGTTCCTTTTCAGTTCATCCACCTAAATGTTTTTAACAGATTGGTAATAATTGCCTGAGTCATTAATTTCATTAGGAGGTGAAAATGTGATTTGCAAAAAACTTTCATTCCTTCTACATTATTTTTAGTATATGTAGAGTACATTGTAAAACTAATGATTTTCAAGATGGTGATATATTTACTCACTTAAAAATACATTCATTCTCATAATAGGTGATATATGTTAGAAAAAGATTTGTGGATCTTTAAGGAAAGAGCTTATTAGAATTGTGTGTAAAATAAAATATACATATTGCAGTTTAATCTTATGGATCAACAAAACCGTGGACCAGTATCTGATAGTACAGTTGTCCCTTGGTGTCCCCAGGGAATAGTCCAGGACCTCCCACAGATATCAGAATCCAAATATGCTCACATCCCTTATCTAAGGGTATAGTATTTGCATATAACCTACACACATCCTCCCGTATACATTGTCATCTCTAAATTACTTATAATACCTAATACACTGTAAAATGCTACATAAATAGTTGCCAGTGCAGCAAATTCAAGTTTTGCTTTATGGAACTTTCTGGAAATTTTTTTCCCAAATATTTTCAGTTGAGTCTTCAGATGTGGAGTCTGAGAATATAGAGAACTGATTGTAATGGTTTTAACTGTCCTCAATCTTACAAGAGCAACAGTAAACTTTATTTTTATTTTTATCTTCATGAATAATTGTTTATAGTGACATCATTGTTATTCATCATTACTGCTGTTTTATTTTCAAAGGTTATGTTGGTAGTGTAAAAAATGCTCTTTAAAATTTAGTCAACAGAAATAATTCAAAAGAAGAAGAAAGTAGTGTACCTTTATTTTAGTACTGTCTGTAATGGGAAAAGTGGAAATATCAGTTCAGTTAGTGGAAGTAAATTATAATGACATTGTCCAAGAGAATATATATTTAAAATTGTGAAAACCAAGTAACAAAGTTGGAGGAGGTGGGAAGTACTTTGAGAGCAAAAAAGAATATAAAATACTTTTTGATATTGGTAATTGTATTTTAAAAGTATCTGTATTTGAACAATAACAGAAGAAACTAAAAAAATGAAAATGTATTATGTTGGTGTTGTGATTGATTTTTCTCTTATTCAGATTTCCATTACTGTGTGTACAGTAAATATGTAAATTAAATATCTATGAATAAATGTGACTAGAGATGCAGACTATTGAATATAACGTTAATTAAATTGGTTTGTTGGCTAGAACCAATTTATGTCACAAATAGAAATGTAAGTAATATATATTTAGCAATCTTAAGACTAAGCTAAGACTATCCAGGAAAAAGTATTAGATCACATTTCTGATTAGATTTTGTAAAGATAGCTATCTTTTCAAAGTATAGGTTATCAGTCCTTGAGTTTGAAAAGCATGTTATTAGATTAATTATAGTTCTTGATAATCTAAATGAATTATATGTATGATAAGCCCATGGCATATATGGACTGGACATAAATGTTCCTAGACTTTGCTGAATCTCCAGGTCTGTGAATTCTGTATAATTTTCTTCAGTAGATTTGGTATAGTGGACCGTTTTATGCCCTGGATTCAAGCTTTGCCCGAAATGTCGTTCTATTGTTCAATTTCCCCAAACATAGCATTCCATTTTTTAGTTAATCTAGAACTATTTTCATATCAGAACTGTAAGTTTCTTTTATTTCCAGTACCTGGATTAGCAGTTGACTTCTGTTACTCTTACTTACCACACACACAGTTTGTCTGGCACAGTGCTTTCCAGCCCATTCCAGTTGTTCACACTGAAGAAGGTAACATTTTCATGTTACATGGCAGTATACAGATTACACTGAGAGAGCTGTTAGCACCATGGGCCACTGGCCTAGCTGCCTGAGGACCCAGAGGATGCATAAGTCTGACAATCATTTGCAGCCTACAAGTATTGGGGCGCTTATGATTTGGAAAGCTCAGTTCTAGCTGTGTTATTTTGTGCATTATTACAATAGAGACGTAGTAAGTTGACTGAACAGTAAGCCACATTGAGTTATAGGTTTGCCTGGTTGCCTGGCTTAACTCACTGTCTAAGGCTTTCAATACATGTCTGCAAGTTAGGCTTAGCAGAACTGCATCTTGCTGTCTCTTCAAAGATTGCTCAGAATAGTGGGAACAGCATGTGGCTAAATCTGCAAAATCCAAGGATCTATTTTTATATGACAGAGTATACAGTTTACAAGAATTGAAAGAAAGACAGGAACATTTGGATATATTTTCTCTTTAAAGGAAAAGATTTTGTCCCTCAGGAAGCATTTTATTTCTGTCTTTTAAAGTGATGATTATCAGATTTGCATGTTGGAATTATCAGAGAAGCTTTTTCAAAATTCAGATGCCTATGTCTTACCTCAGATTGATTCCCTGTTCTCAGAAATAGCACCTGCCTAAAAAGACTTCAGAAAATTAGAAATTCCTTTTTAATATATTTTTCTCACGTTTTGAGCTAAAATGGTGAGTATGTAAAAGAAAACCTTTAAAATCTCATGTGTTCTGATCTAATCATACCCATTCTTTCTCTTAAGAAGTAAATTTTCAGATATCAATAAAACAGTGTTTTAAAAACAAAGTAAAAAAAATAAATAAAATAATAAAAAAATAAAAACAAAGTAGGAACAAAGTAAATAAATTTAAAGTAGGACACATATAGAAGAACAAGTAGGAAAATTTTTTTAAAAATGTATTCAGGGCAAAAACAAGCAAGACAAAGGTACTGGAGAATTTTAAAAATTGTACTAATTGCAAGGGAGCAGGAGATAGAACCAGCGCAGTAACAGAAGCAAGGGTATCAGTCAAAAAATAATTTAAATGCTTCCTTGAGCTATGCCACTTATTCTTTCACAGTTCTGGTCCAGAAATATAGTAGAGTTTTGTGTTAAATTAATAGCATATAATGTCGTTCCTAAGAATTCCTGTGTTCTCCAATTAAATCCTTCTAGTCATTAACTAGGATTCTCCAAATTAAAACATCTAGTTTTAAATAAATAAGTCATGGGATGTAATATACAGCATAAGGAGTATAGTCAAATAATACTGTAATGACTTTGTACAGAGGTAGATGGTTACCAGGAATGATCATAGTGGTGATCATTTTGTAATGTATTTAAATGTGGAGTCATTATGTTATACACCTGAAACCAACATGACATTGTATGTCAACTAAACTTCAAATAAATAAAATAAAGAACACTTCATTCAGTTAATAAGAATAATAGATAAATATAGGCACACAAATCTTAAAAATATTTACCAGTACTTTTCCTTTCAAACCATACTATAGTTTTGTTTTCTTTTTTCCTAGGGCTCCATTAAGGACCAATTAAAAGCATATGGAGCTCTTACTGAGAATGTGACCAGGAAATACACCCGTCAAATTCTTGAGGGAGTTCATTATTTGCACAGCAATATGATTGTTCATAGAGATATAAAAGGTAAGCAATGAGGTGTTTTTTAAGTACTCAGTTGTTTTTTTTTTTTTTTAATGAAAATGTGCTGTGGTTAAGAAATTTAACATTTAAATTAATTCATCTACCTTTACAATGCCATAGGAAAACAATTCCAGCTAGTCCTGTTGTTCAGGTTTCTACAAGAGGGAAGCTCTCCTGTGGAGGTTCATAGAACCAGTAAAGTTCAAATGAATTGAGACATATTTTCATACACAGTGCATAGGCTCAGAACATAGTAGCTAAGAATCGGGGCTCTTGGGGTAAGGAGAGGATGGGACAGATTGAGAAAGGAGCATTGAAACATACACATCACCAGGTATAGGACAGACAGCCAGTGGGAAGCTGCAGTGTAACACAGTGGTCACAGCCTGGAGCTGTGATGACATAGAGGGGTGGGCTGGGAGAGACGTTCAAGAGGGACGGGATATATGTATAGTTATAGCTGATTTATGTTGTTGTATGGCAGAGACCAACACAGATTGTAAAACGTCCCCCAATTAAAAATAAATTAAGAAAAAAAATAGGGGCTCAAATTTGACCCAGTTCAAACTCAGGCTTTATCCATCACCACATGTGTCATGTGGACAAGACACTTAGTCTCTCTATGCCTCGGCTCCTCATATTTGTAAAAATTATTTTGGCTGATCTGGATCTTCGTTGCTGCACTCGAACTTCCTTGAGTTGTGGCGAGCAGGGGCTGCTTTTAGTTGAAGTGCACGGGCTTCTTTTGTTTTGGAGCACAGGTTCTAGGTACACAGGTTCAATGGTTGTGGCACATGGTCTTAGTTGCTGAGACATGTGGAATCGTCCCTGATCGGGGATTGAACCCATGTCCCCTGAGTTGGCAGGTGAATTTTTATCCAGTGTACCACCAGGGTAATCCTCAGCTCCTCATTTTTAAGGAGGGTGGTAACAGTGTACAGATCACAGAATTCTTATAAGGATTAAATGAGGTAATGTGTATAGATAGCATCCTTAAAATCATGCCTGGTATCTAGAAAGCACTCAAAATTAGTTACAATGATGATGTATGTTGAGATTGTATTTAAAGCTGTGGGAAATGGACCTCATTACTTAAGAGAATAAGAGAGCCTAAGACTGAGCTTTGATAAGTAAGTTAAAAAAGTTTTTCATCAGTCTTTCTGGGGCTCTTATGAGCTACCAGGAATTTACTTCTTTCCTGCGGTGTGTCACACCCTGAAGATGGCCATAACCAGACTAAAGAGGACATTCCTAACCAGTGTTGGTCACAGAGTAGAATCTGCTGCAGATTGCTGGAGCTGGGTCACATGTACAGAATGGACCTGCCTAGTGACTTTTAGAGGATGGCAATGTGACGCAAGATCTGAAAGAAATAGGAGCCTGCTTTTCACCTCAGGATCTTCCCTGCTTAGGCAGACCCTAGATGTCAAGTTCAAAACCTGAAAGCCAAGAACTGCATAAGGTGGTGACCATTTTATAATGTATAGAAGTATTGAATCACAGTATTGTATGTCATAGAACTAACATAGTGTTGTAGGTCAAGTATACTTCAATTAAGTATACTCCCTATACTTTGTAGGGAAATGATTTGTGAGTTATTCTATTAGTGATAATCTATTCAAGCCAGTTTCTCTTTCACCTTCATAATAAGATAAGGTAAAGGAACCGAGGGGAGCTACCTGCTCAAGTGGATCCTCTTCTGACCCTGCCAGTAACATGAGGAAGTTGGAAGCAAGCTGATTTAAAAACATTATAAGGGGCCATTTTGCTGTTTGTGACATGAGACAGAGTCGCTGTGGGTATCATCAAAGCAGTGGACAAGAAGAGAGCTGGAGCTGGTGAGATCACCAGGTCTGCCCAGAAAGCTCAGAAGGCTAAATGAATATTACCCCTAGTACCTGCCACCCCAGTCTTAATCAGCGTTGGAAGAGCCATCTCAGGACTGTTTGTCTCAATTGGCCATTTAAGTAATAGTCAAAGACTGGTTAATGATAACAGTGCATTGTAAAACCTGCCGAAGGAAAGGAAAATGTTTCTGTGGACCATATGTTTTGTGTGACAGTTTATTAGTTTTAAAAATCAGTACTTTTTAATGAAAACAACTTGACCAAAAATCTGTCACAGAATTTGAGACCCCTTAAAAAAAAGTTTAAAGAGAAAAACACAGAGACAGAAAAACATTATAGGGGGAATATATTGATAAGAAAAATGTAAGATATAAAATTGAATATGCAGTATGATCTCAAGTTTATAAAATTAAAGTATGATGTAGAACAATTTTCACATGATTAATGGTGGTTATTTTCAAGTAGCAGGATGAGTGGTAATTGTTTATTTCCTCCATATTTTTTACTTTTTATGTATTTTTAAACTTTTATAATGAACTTTTTGTTTAATTAAAGAGAAACCTTTTATTATTTATTTATTTTTGGCTGCTCTTGGTCTTCATTGCTTTGCATGGGCTTTCTCTAGTTGGCGGTGAGTAGAGGCTACTCTTCGCTGTGGTGTTCGGGCTTCTCATTGCTGTGGCTTCTCTTGTTGCGGACGAGCTCCAGGTGCTCAGGCTTCAGTAGCTGTAGCGCGTGGGCTCATGGTTGTACATGGGCTTAGTTGCTCTGCTGCATATGAAATCTTGCCAGGCCAGGGATCGAACTGTGTCCCCTACATTGGCGGGCAAATTGTTACTCACTGCACCCCCAGGGAAGTTCCAGAATGAGCAGTGTTTAAATGGCAAGGCAAAAGGAAAGGTAGTTGCTTACTTTTAAGTTTAGACTCATATGAGTTCATAATGAAAAGTAGGGAACCAGCTTGTTATTTCATAATAGGATTTCTTTATTTGACTTTTCTTTTATGAACTATACTACTGAGGACTAAATAGAGAATGACCTTTATACAAATATTTTGGCTAACAAAGAGGGAATGATAGAATAGTACCATTTTACAACTACTAATGGGGTTAATAGATACATACATTAAACATTAATGGTTGCTAACGTCACCTCACAGAGACAGTCTGTCATTGCATGCTTCCTATTTGTAGACTATATCTGCAAAGCAGTTTCCTACCACACACCCCCCCCCCCCCCCGCCAAATTCTTTTTGAACCTGAGTCTGATCAAGCCTCTAGATTCAGCTACCAAATTGTAAAATTATGGAACATTTATAGAGAACAGATCAGCATGTTAAATGACTCCTTAGGATGGACTTGGCAAAACCTAGACAATAAGAAAGCTATAGGCAGACAACTTAGATTCTTCATAAACTGTAAATTAAAAAAAAAAGGTTGGAAGGAACTTTAGGAAAGACTTAAAAGATGTATCAGTGATTCTCAACATAAGGTCCTTGTTTGCATTCAGATTTTTTTGGAAAAAATACTAAAAAAAAAAAACACCAAAACACTGAGTATATATTTAATAACATCAAGGAATTATTGTCTTATGTATGATAAGAGTCCTTGTCTTTTAAAGATGTGTACTGAACTGTTTATTGATCATGATGTCTTTAATTTGATTCAGATAATATGAAGGGAAGGAGTGGCTAGTAGTGTGGTTAGAAGAGGTTGCCCAGATGATTGCTGGGATTGGATGAGGGGGTCATGCAGTATTCTGTCTGCTTTTGTGTGTATTTGAAAAGTCTCCTTAACCATTTACTTTTAACATATCCAAAGTAAGTTTTTAAAAGGTTAGGTAACTGTATTGGGAACCTGCTATATACATTTTCTCCTCAGCCCTTTGTATGGCTGGGCATTGATTCAGCGTTGGTGATGACTCCCCAGAGATAGCTCTCCTTGTCTGTGACCTGTCTGGGACTGTTTCTGCCCAGGTGGTCCCCGTTAAAAACTGGCTTGCTGGTTGTCCTTCCCCAGCTTAAATATTTTAGACACAGTGGTGTGTGTGTGTTTTTTTTTTTTTTGACAGAGTCCTTCTTTAAGTGTTGAACAGCGAGAGGTGTCAAAAAGGCAGTGCTGTTTTAGAGAATCACTGGTACCAAGGCATACTTTGGCTTCTGCATGCAGAGAACGAATCCTTGACTCTCCCCTCAAGACAGGCCTTAATTGACTAGACTGGGAGATTTGCTGGGAGAACAGAAGACTGGGCCAGAAGTTCATGGTGGGGATGGACGGTTTGCGTTCTCTCCAGTCTATAATATAGGTTTTTATCCACTATTCACATTCCTTCTTAGAGGCTGATTTTTTTAAAAAAAAAAAAAAGGAGAAGACAGATAAGGAATCTTTTTTTAATCTAAAATATCCTGAAGGTTAGGAAGATTTTAGGTAAAGTTTAGAAACTAAAATTCGGTAAGTCAATAAAATTAGTTGCTTGTTTAAAAACAGCAACTTAGCTGGAACATCATGAGCAAAAAAAAAAAATAGTAAAGTCATTGGTTTATAACCAAAGTGCAAAATAAATATCCATGTATTCACACTGGTAGAAATGGATGGTTGAATAAGTAGGAAAAAAAGAGACGAATCTCCCACACAGAATAATTCCAAATAATATGTATAACTACTAAAAAAGAAAAAGGTAGTTTTTTAGAGGTAATTTATATATGAAGAAACTAGACTTAAAATCCTAGAAAAAAGATTGAGTTTAAAGAATGATAAAGGGGAAAATAGAGAATAAAAATAAATGCACCTAGCTCCCAGTCTGTTGGTTTCTGATACCATTCTCCGCTAAGAGGAACTAGTGTTCCTTGGAGCAGTGGCCGATTATAGACCTGGTGCAGGAGGCACAGAGTGAGCATGGTGCATCCTCTAGCACCAGAACGTAAGACAGTGCTAACAGTAAACAGTCCAGAAGTCCAGCCAAGCGAGACACAGTGACTGAGTTATGGCAGAGGGACACAGGAGCCAATAGAGAGGGCTCCCAATGGACAAAGCTGTAAACGACATGAGCCAAAACAAAAATAGTAATAAAGTCATTGGTTTATAACTCAAAGTAAAAAATAAATATTCACATATTCAGATTGATAGAAATGGATGGTTGAATAAATAGGAAAGAAGAGACAAATCTCCCATGCAGAATAATTCCAAATAATATATGTAACTACTAAGCCTAGAGCATAATTTCTCACTCCCTTATACATAGTGAACTTCTTCCAGAGAGCTTCGTATGGAAGGGGGGAAAGAGTAACTTTACAGTGGAGGACTCTGTAAACACTTTCTCACCTCAGCAATCCTGGTTAGTTTATAATAAAGTTAAAAGTTTGTTATAGAAGCAAATGAAATTTTAGGAGATGCTAGGTTCCAGGGAAATAATCCTGTAGACATGGGCTTCTTGCTTTATAACAGAGAGTCTATGGCCAGGAGCCTGCTATTGCTTTCATCATCCTTCTCTGAACTTCCCGTTCCTTTTTTTTGAACTTCTTAGTCCTTTTCCCCTCCCACTTGCACCAGCCCTTTTCAGTAGGAGAACCTTTTCTTAGGTCCTGAAGCACACAGTGACACTAAATTTTCGTTGTTCCATATAAGAAATCTTTAATATACACTGACTTTACGCCTGGCATTATGCCAGGTACTATTCAGAGGTGCAAAGCAGCCTGATTTTGGAGACAGATTGAAGAGTCTGAGTAATTTTCTGCCTTTTTCTTTTATGTTATATTCTAGATTGTCAATAAAAATAATGAAATGAGGGTATTTCTTGTTTTAGGTGCAAATATTCTGCGAGATTCAACAGGCAACGTCAAACTAGGAGATTTTGGGGCCAGCAAACGGCTTCAAACCATCTGTCTTTCAGGGACAGGAATGAAGTCTGTCACAGGCACACCATACTGGATGAGCCCTGAAGTGATTAGTGGAGAAGGCTATGGCAGAAAAGCAGATATCTGGTAGGTTTTGATGTGGGATTTGCCTGAAAACACATACCTTATTAACATATTTCCACTCAGGATGGAACTTATTGAAATGAACTTTAATTCTTTTTTGTACTTTTGAAATAGGATGTCAGGATTACAAGGGTTGATATCATTTTAATTATGCCCTTTGAGGCTTAATAACTGACCAAATAAATAGAGCTTTCGAATCATTTTTTTCATTCTTTAGGAAGGATTTCATCTTAAGCAAATTTCAGCATTAGAAAACTGTCTTCATTTTATTTCCCGGATGAACTTTTAAAATACTTAATCTTTATTGTTAGTCTTATAATTCAGTTAACCTTTAATTGCTTAATAATTTTAAGTTAGAGCATAAAACAGTCATTTCCTACTTCCCATTGAGAAAAGTGGTTTTTTTTTCTTTGGTGTTTATTGGTATTTATTGAAGTGGAGAAGAGAAGGTTTCTCTCTGTGACCACTGCAGAGCTAGGAAGTGAGGGGAGTCTCTGTTCCTCTTCTTGCTGTTCACTAAAGGTCACTCTGGTTTCTCCTTAATCAAGTTCTCACTGCCCGCCAGCCTCTGAGCCTGAGTCTGGGCACCCTGAGAGGTTAGCAGCTCTCTACACCCTTTCCATTGTGCAGCTCTAGAGTCTCTCCTGCCTGCTCTCAGCCCCAGCTACTTAGATGAGCTCTTTCGAGTAAAGTTTTTAATAGGTACTCATTTTAGACACCTAAAGACAGAGAATTTCTAATGTTGCTATTCTTTGTAAGATAAAGACAAAAAAACACTTACATTCAGTGGCAGGCTAGAGAATTATATCGAGCAAAACTTATGAATAATATTCTGTGCCTAACAAATTTGAGAGCTTAAATTGCAGTTTGTTTTCATTGATTTTTGTGTTTGAAGGACAGGTTTGGGTTTTTGTTTTTAGTTCAAACATAAGCTGTGTATTTTTTTAACAAGATAATAGTACAGTAATTTAGTTGTAACCAAGCCATCAACAGAGCCATATAGAAACAAAACTAAAGGTATTGCTTTAGATTGATTATCTCCCTTAAATAGGAAAAATTTAACCTGTTAGTCTAGTGGTTCTCAAACCTATCCACACATTTGAGAAATGGAGGGGAGGAGGAGGATTAGTGCTTAAAAATTTAGCTATACCCAGAGCCCATCTCAGAACAATTATATGTGAGTATCTCAAGAGTGGGGCCCAGGCAAAGATTTCTGAAGTGTTGTCAGGTTTGAGAAGTACAAGTCTAAAGTAATAAGCAATAAAAACCATGCCTTCAAAGCAATTCGAAAGCACAGAGTTAAAAAAATAAATATGGTAAATTTCTTTTCTTTTATCCTAGCAAGAGGAGGAGGGAAGCACCAATTGATTTCTCATTATTTTTTATCCGTTTTTGATTGCCCAGATTGGAGTTTAACAGACATCAAATACTGAAAGTTATACAAATGTATTATATGCTACAATTCTCACTACTTTACATTTAGAAAGCTCTTCTAAGACAGTACCAGCTTTTGGAAAGAAAAGCACTTTTTAAAGTTTGCATAGATGTTTAAGTTGGCTGTTGGCTCAGCTAAAAGTCAATGTAATGCACTAAAAGGCATTTTATTAGTAGCAGTTATTATAAAACTATTCATTTCCTGTACCACAAATTTAACTTTTTGGTACAACAAGAAGAATATTTGAGTTTTTCCCATCTATTTCTATAGCTGTCAGAATTCATTGAAATGCAGACTCAAAACATAAATTTTTCTTCAAGACTGCATACGTAAAATACTTTTCCTATAACTGCACTATATCCCTGACAGATCCCTACTGGGGACTTCAGTAGTGACTACAGGCATATTTATCTTTAAAACAACTTTTTTTCTCATTGTTTGGGTTTGGGATTGATACCAAGTTTGGAAAAAGATGTTTCCTTAAGATTACAAAAATTCACTTAAAAATGTCTCCTCAAATTTAAAAACCCTGTTTTCTTCAGCTCCTTCTGTCAGGTCTCCATGTCAGTCGATCTGAACTACATCCTTCTTGCCCTGAAGCGCTCTTCTCTCGGGTTGTCTCCGTTTGTCCCTCCGTGATTCTCCTCCAGACTGGGAGGGGGCCTGGTGCCTGGGAGCAGGTGTCCCGGGCCAGCTGAGGCCTCAGTCACCGCTGCGTCCTTTTGGTGCTTCACAGTGGCTCCAAGACCCCTCAGGGCTGCTGGGGATACGGACAGTCCAGAGCAGGAGCCCTTCAGAGGCATGTAGAATGTCAGCCTCAGAGCCCAGCGGCTCCACAAGGGGTGCCGAGGGCCTTGACCTCAGTTACGGTTGTCTGTAATCACAGCCTTGTAATGAAGTTTACCCTTGAAACCAAGTCGTATTTAAATGTATATGAACTTCACACGTTTCTCATTTCATAGGTAGGTAACTGACCTTCATGATGATGTTGTTTGTGTAAGTTGTTTTTTCTCCCCTCTCAGGAGCGTGGGCTGTACTGTGGTAGAAATGCTAACTGAAAAGCCTCCTTGGGCCGAGTTTGAAGCGATGGCTGCCATCTTTAAAATCGCCACTCAGCCAACGAACCCAAAGCTGCCACCTCACGTCTCAGACTACACTCGAGATTTCCTCAAACGGATTTTTGTAGAGGCCAAGCTGAGACCGTCCGCTGACGACCTTCTGAGGCACATGTTTGTGCACTGTCACTAGCGGCTGGCAGCCTCTCCTGTGCCTCTGCCCAGCTCCCATCTGTCCATTCACCTTCTCTCTGACTGCACTTTCTCTTTTTTACAAAAAAGAGAGATGGGGGAGGAAAAAAAAGACAAGAGGGAAAAGTGTTTCTCTTGATTCTTGGTTAAATTTGATTATTAATAATAATAGTAACCTAAATTTTTTATATTTAATCTTTTTTTCCCTTACAAGAACTTGAAACTTTTTTTTTTAATTTTTATTATGTACTGATGTGGTTCAGAGACATACAGCACTTTAGTACATAGTCACTCTTTTTAGTACAAAAAACTCATTGGAATACCTAAAGATTGTAGAGTCTTTCCCTGTGTCACTGACAGATTGGCAGTGATGGGGAGACATGGAAAACAAGAAGAGAAAAATGATGTATAATTTGTAGTTTTTAGTGATAGTATTTAAAATAGATTCTTGTTTGTGGGGTTGAGCCCTAAACTTGAGTTTAGGATAGGTACTCAACTAAAAGAATATAGGTTCCTTCTTGTATCTGTATTCTTTAGATCCTAACCTCTGTCTACCAAGCTTTTTGCTCAGTAGGAATCTTGATAGAAAATATGAATCTCTAGAGGTATGTTTATTTGTTAATCCTAACCAGTATAATAAGCAAATACACTATAATAGATCCATATTACTGGAATCTATAAACCTTGAGGGATAGCTTTCTGCTTAAAAAAAAAAAAAGGATACTGTTTTATTTTAAAGCAGATATATGAAGTCAATAAGCAAATCCAAATTAAAAGATAGAAGACTGCTCTAATTAAATGTGTGCGAGTCGAAGAGACCAAATTTGCCAGTCAACAGAAATAATGAAGAGAACTGAGTGTTGTTCAGTGTATTTTAAACTGTGTCCTTTACCTGAGGGGGAAGTCCCAAAATTAAGGGAAAGGAGAAATAAAATCATATATACTGTATCTTTCTGATTCTAGCTCCTGATTCCCCATAGATAAACATTCTCTAGGAACTTAGAGTTTAACCTGGAGTATCCATGTCTTAAAAGCTAATGTCCTGAGATAAAACCCTTGTTCTTTGGATCACAGAGTACTAAAGTACCTCAAAAAACAGTTACTGTGTAAAACAGTGGTTTTCATGGCTGGGGTGGGGACAATTTTACCTGGCATTTGGCAATGCCTGGAGACATTTTTGGTTGTCATAAAAAAGAGGATGCTAGAGGCCAGGGATGCTGCTAAGCAAACTAAAATACACAAGAACAGCACCTCCCTTCCCCCATCAAAGAATTATCCTCCCCAAATGTTAAAAGTGCTGAAGCTGAGAATCCCTGAGATAAATACTAGCCCTGGTTATAAACTGAAAATGCCTATATACAAAGCAGGTTCCTTGCAAAAAGTAAATTTCAGAGAGTGATATAGTGCATAATGAGGGTTTTACAAGAGCAGATAGTCACTACTTCAAGTCAAGGGTGAATGATCTGTACAAACAGCAAAGAACAACCCTTTTCTTACCAGCTGCATATTGCACCCAAATCAGTAACTTTCATTTTGGAAATTAACTTAAACATGGAGCCTATTGAATTCAGTCATAATTCATTCATAATTGTGGGAAAAGAAAGGCATATTAAAACAAAGTATTAACTACTTTAAACGAAGGTTAAAGACTGCCAGATATTTCTAGCATAAGAGCCAAGGACATTAAGCAGAAAGAGACTACTGGGAAACCCCCACTATCTCTGGTGGACTTGTGCTACTGAAAAACATGAATGATGCCAGTGGTTTGGCCACTTGCAATTTTTTCAGCATATTAAAGCAAGGGCTAAGTACTTCAAGGGTCTAGAAAATAGTATTCTTCCTGGAGGCCCTCAATGTGATGCCTTTCATGGGATTCATAAGGGACTTGGGTATTTTATGTTCTGCTAAAAAGTATGCTTGTTTAGGAACTCTTTTAAAATATTTTGTTTCTGAAGTTGAGTAGATGTTGGTTTACTGTATCAAGGTCCTATCTGGCATTCCCTGTAGGAATATTTGAAATTCCACTAGCTAGTCTGAGAAGAAGTCAAAGCACAAATACAGCTGTTAAAGCTTCTCCTATTCCCATATAATGAAAGGAAACAGCTTGCAAGGAAGAACATGAATTAGTAGCCTACCTCCCACCCCTCAAAATCAACTGCCAAATCTTGTGCTATCAAGATAGTCCCCAAGGATGTGGATCTATTATAATTTCTTCATCTTTTACGAGTGAAGGCATCTCTTCTACTTGAGCAAGACGGTGGTATCTGGACCAGTGGGCTTTTCCTTCCTTTGTGTTGTGTGCTTGTGATTTCCTTTTGGCTCAGTTTTGGTCTGTCAGGGTAATCAGCAGTGCAGAATATGAGGCAAGTGCTCTTTAAAGAGAAACCTTGGGAAACTGTGAAACCCAAAGCAAAATGTTTGCCTTTTTCAGTCTCTATTTCCAAAATGCTATAGAAAATAAAATCACCGGAAAAGAAACTACTATGTTAACACTGCTGTGTAAGACCTTTGTTTTATAAGAAAAATATTATTAGCTATGGAAAAGTATTGTTCTTTATGTAAAGACTTAAGAATAGACTAATAGTTTACAGAGTTATATAAAAATGTGATGTGAATTTATTTCATACAAGTTGTTGAAGGTACCAAAAACCACAAAAAGTTAATATATATAAAAACTACTAGAACAAAAAAGCTTAAAGTGGGGTGAGGTATGGTAAGATCAAAATTAAATTTAAAAAATTTTGAAAGGAAACACATCTGTCAGGGGCTGTTAAATATAACACTCCATTTTTTTTCTTTCTAATAATGATATGGATCAACAAATGAAATTTGAACTTTTTAGGATGACTATAAATGTGTTTTGTTTTTTAAATGCACAACCTGATTCTTCTATACTGTAATGTTTCTTTGCTGAGGCTGGAAAATGACCACACTGCTAACTTTGTGCCTTTAAAATGCGTTCTGCTTTGATAGTGGCAGACTTTTTGGTGCTGGAGAAGATTCACTAGCAGTGTTTTATGTGCTTTTCAGGATATACCTTTCTACTTAGGCCTTGAGAGATTCAATATGGCATGACTTAGGCTTGGACCAAATACAAGATCTTTTACATTGCACACAGACTATATTGAATAAAAGGGTTGAAAAATATCATAATGACTAATAGAAATTTTGATGATAATTCTATAAAATGTATTTTAAAATATACAGACTTTGAAAGTTTCAATATGACGATCTTTAATTTTCCTCATTTACAAAACATGTTTTTAACCTGAGAAACGGTTGAAGACTACTGCCTTGGAAAGTTTTCAAAGGCATGACAACCTTACATAATTTATATGGATTGAAATGTTAATGCACAGGCTGAACTATAAAAGAAAAATTAAAACTTACTTCATAGTAAATTGAATTGGCTTTGAAGGAGTCTTTATCTTATTTCCAATAGAAGCTACATTTTAAAGGTGAAATTATTTCTTTAGAGTAGCTTTCTTTCTCTGCTACTTCAGCTCTTGTATATGTCAGGTCTGGTGTGTAATATTTCTGAGATGGAAGTATAATAAGGTACATGAAATTACTGAGAAAATAAAATTTGAATAGTTTAAAGGGACAACCAAGCTTGGGAGCAAAAGCAAAGACATTTGCCAGATGCAGACTCCTTGGCCCACAGCAGAGATCTTTGTCAGTGATTTCATTTGGGACCAATAGTTCGATATAAAATCACCTAGTATCAGCCAAGTATAGGGATCTATCAAATTTTTTTTTAACATGGTGAGTCTTCTTCATTTACTTATTCAATATTGTGACTTACTATGTCAGGTATTAAATTAGCTTGTCCTTAAGGAGGTCACAGTCTAGGAGGAAAAAACGGGCAAACAGTTGTTTTCTTGACATATCCTAACTCTGAAAAGTTTATCAATGATGTTTTAAACTGTTATTACTTACGAGGTGAGGGGAAAGCGATTTTGGGTGACCATCGGCTGTTATAAACTGAACAACAGACAATAGAAGCACCCAGTTGAAGGGATCTGCACATGTCAGGCACCCTCTCGCTCAGGACTCCCTCTGAAAACCCAGCCTCTGTTCAGACAGTTCCAGTGATGGGGGCATTTATTCCATTACATAGTAGTTTTTTCCCCCTGCTTTTTTCTTTTAAAGAAAAGAATATTTTCTTTTGGTCTGAATTATTAAAATACCCAAAATATTTGATAGAAATTGAATTCTGCCAACAGTGTTATTTATACTAAGATCAGGAAAATTTCTTGAGATTTTACTGTTTTATATGAAGTTTGGCCTTTGTTACAAATGTAATGTTCATATTTATTTTAATCTTAAGATTGGTTAAAATGTTAATGAAAAGCAGTTTAATTGTTAATTTTTCGTAGTGCCTTTTTCTCTGTATGCCTTAATTTTGTTTTATATCAATAATAATTCACATTACCCACCGAAATGAAAGTTTCTCCAAAATCAGTAGGCTGCAGGAGTTCATTTGGCCTTAGACTGTGTACTGGCCATTAAACTTTTCTTAATGCCTGCTTCCTCCTATCCTTTTCTACCTCTTTTTTAAAAAATATGTTAGAAGAGAAACATTGTTTTGTGATAGACACATTGCAGTTTTACTAGACACATTTCTAAGATAAGGATAGAAAGAGATATTTTAATTCTAGAGAGACATAGTAAATTATTTTCCAGGTTGATTACTTGATTTTTCAGTCACATTGGCACTGTTCAAATTCTTTGCATATCATGGTTCAGTTACAATTTTCAAAGAAGAACTGGAATGGTGGTTTTGTCCTAAAGAAGTTATTTAAATGGTTTACAAATACTAAGGCAGTGAGACTTAGGGCAATGAGCAAGAAATCCAGGGATTGCAAATTCTAATCCTTACTTTTAAGCTAGCATTTTGACTAAAACTCTAGCTTTTCTGTGAAGAGAGAGAGAGAGAGAGAGAGTGTGTGTGTGTGTGTGTGTGTGTGTGTGGAGTTGGGGCAGGGGTGGGAAGGAAGG